TCAATGTCAGTCTTAATTTATTTATTTAACTACATGTGAATTGTCTCCCCCCCAATACCCTTCCCTAACGCCCTTAGGACGTTGATGAATGAAATGGCCAAAGCCGAGACTGTCCTCGGAATCGTCATTCGAGCAGAGGGTGCCGATGCACATCTGGATGTTGGGATTGTCCTGGAGGAGGTGGAAGTTATGAACAGCTTGGGCAGTGTATCTTCTGCAATAGTGATGCTGCTGGGACTAATCTACGCACTAAACTTGAGCTACCCTCAAGTTTAGTGCGTTCAGCACTCAACTTGCTCAGTAATTCAAGCATACCTTTGAAGTAATACAGAAAATAATAATGAAATTGGATGGAAAGAACTTATCAAAGAAAGCACAAGTTCTCAATATGAAACTCGCCGCTAAGTTGAGTAGTTTCATATGGAAAATGAGTGTTTAAAGTCTGCAGTAGAAAAGATTTATATTGTTACAGTTCTCTAAGTTGAGCAACTATAATGACATGTTTTATGTTGTAAAGAATTGGCTGGGAAATGAAACTGTAACCTTTTTGTAGTTGTTTTTTTATTTCAATGTCCAACTCAGCTGTGTTTTGTGCTGTGTAAAAAAACGATGTATAACAATTCTGAAAATACAATTGTGTTGTACCTTTTCTAATTGTTGAGTGTTCTTCCTACACTTTCACCTAGTGCTATCTTAAAATGCTTGATTAACGCTTGAAAATATGTCTTTGAATTAACGTCATGAAATAATGGAAAGGATTTCCACACGATTAACTAGCTGTCTTTTAGCATGAAGCATATTTGTTGAGCTAACTTGCTTTTAGTGAGTTGGACCTACTGAATCAGGTAGTGTGAAGGCACCACTGTAAAATAAGGTGGTTTCAACTAGATTTACATTCATCTTAATGAAGTTACATCAATGATTTGGTCCTAAACATTGCAGATTAGTTGGGCGGGCTGTATTGCATTACACTGGGTCACGCTATAGTAACTGAGTTAAAGGAACCTTTAAAAAATATGTTGAGCCAACACATTTCATTTGAATTTGAATAACCTTAATGAATGGAGTTGAGCCAACTCATTTGATTTACAATCATCCATTGCCTTACCATAATTCTGGTTAAGCCAACATATTTGGTTTAAATTAGAACAACCTTAATGAATTATGTTTTGCCAACTCATTTTATTTATATAAGAATAACCACAATATATTACGTTGAGCCAACATGTTTGATTTAGAATCACCCATTGAATCACCATTGTAACAAGTGGAGCCAACACATTTGCTTTACATTGGAATAATCTTAATAAATTAGGTTGACCTAACACATTTGCTTTAAATAAGAGTAACACAAGTACATGGTGCTGAAATAAAGCAAAGTAATCAGGTGGAAATCCTTTCCATAATTTTTTTATGTTCATCCAATGACTTATTTTTTTCAGTGTAACAGTTTGTCAAAAACACTTAATCAGCCAGATAGAGGTCCAAGCAGCAGCTTGTACATTTATACAACACAATTTATACAATCTTCTACAAAGGGTAAAAAATATACATTTATCTAATCTAAACTAATGCAACAATTCTTAGCTGTAATGTAAAGTCTAAACTGAATTGCAGACGTATTTGTGTAGAAGCTAAATGGTTATCAGAGGTGCTTAGTTTTAGTTTTTAGTAGTAACAGTGTTGTTGATCGCCTTTTTTGCCAGTGCATCGAAGTCAGGTGCAAGTTTCGTTGTAGCAATTCTCAGAACAGATCAGAGGTTTTCATCACGTGGCTGAGCTCTGTGGGGTGCTTTTTGTGTGTTCATCATACTGAAGCAGAGCCAAACAACACCAGCATGAACCAACTCCTTTCCAATTGCCATCTTCTGGATATTTGGAAATTTGTCTGTACTTAATGAAGCATAAAAACCATTCAGTATGGAGAGTTGAGCTTCTCCATTAAGACACAGTCACACTGGAGAGGAGTCAGTTCCAACTGCATCTCCTGAGGTGCAGTTTCTGATTCTTTGGTGAAAGGAAATGGTATCAGCTGAAGTGACTTGTTAATTTTTCCTAAGTCAGAGAACCAACAGCAAAATTCTCCATTCAAGTCATCCAGTGATTCTCTGTATTTTTTCATGTGTTGATGGGTCTCTTTCAGTGTAGTCAGTGTTGGAACATGAGTGAATGACTTGCTTGACATTTGCTTTGAGAACGGGGCAGGCTTGGCTTTGAATTTGCTGATATTTGTGAACATTTCATTCACAAACTGGTCTTCCCCTTGTAGCTTCACATTCAGCTCGTTCATATGTGTCAGTTTGTCCACAGCAAAAGCTTAAATCAAAAAAGCCAGACTGTGTCATTCAGTTCAGGAAAATCATTACCTTTCTCAATTAGCTCCAAAAATTAGATAATGTGCTGTTAAATTCCCAAACTCATTGACATACTTTCCCCAAACTTAACCAGCGGACATTGGAACTTGCTGGCACAGCAAGTCCTTTTTCAAGAAACTTAATAAATTGATCAAGCTGAAGTCCCCTCGTTCGAATACAGTTAATGAGTTTTACATCTGTGCACTGAAAAAAATAAGTCATTGGATGAACATAAAAAAATTATGGAAAGGATTTCCACGTGATTACTTTGCTTTATTTCAGCACCATGTACTTGTGTTACTCTTATTTAAAGCAAATGTGTTAGGTCAACCTAATTTATTAAGATTATTCCAATGTAAAGCAAATGTGTTGACTTAACTTGTTACTATGGTTATTCAATGGGCGATTCTAAATCAAACATGTTGGCTCAACATAATATATTGTGGTTATTCTTATATAAATTAAATGAGTTGGCCAAAAAAATTTCATTAAGGTTGTTCTAATTTAAACCAAATATGTTGGCTTAACCAGAATTATGGTAATGCAATGGATGATTGTAAATCAAATGAGTTGGCTCAACTCCATTCATTAAGGTTATTCAAATTCAAATGAAATGTGTTGACTCAACATGTTTTAAAGGTTCCTTTAACTCAGTTACTATAGTGTGACCCAGTGTAATGCAATACAGCCAGCCCAACTAATCTGCAATGTTTAGGACCAAATCATTGATGTAACTTCATTAAGATGAATATAAATCTAGTTGAAACCACCTTATTTTACAGTGGTACCTTCACACTACCTGATTCAGTAGGTCCAACTCACTAAAAGCAAGTTAGCTCAACAAATATGCTTCATGCTAAAAGACAGCTAGTTAATCGTGTGGAAATCCTTTCCATTATTTCATGATGTTAATTCAAAGACATACAGTTAGGGCCAGAAATATTTGGACAGTGACACAGGTTTTGTTATTTTAGCTGTTGACAAAAATATGTTCAGAAATACAATTTATATATAATATGGGCTGAAAGTGCACACTCCCAGCTGCAATATGAGAGTTTCCACATCCAAATCGGAGAAAGGGTTTAGGAATCATAGCTCTGTAATGCAGAGCCTCCTCTTTTTCAAGGGACCAAAAGTAATTGGACAATGGACTCCAAAGGCTGCAAGTAACTCAAAAGGCCTTTCCCTCGTTAACCTGTAATCAAGTAAGTTGTTAAAAGGTCTGGGGTTGTTTCCAGGTGTGTGGTTTTGCATTTGGAAGCTGTTGCTGTGACCAGACAACATGCGGTCAAAGGAACTCTCAATTGAGGTGAAGCAGAACATCCTGAGGCTGAAAAAAAAGAAAAAATCCATCAGAGAGATAGCAGACATGCTTGGAGTAGCAAAATCAACAGTCTGGTACATTCTGAGGAAAAAGGAATTGACTGGTGAGCTTGGGAACTCAAAAAGGCCTGGGCGTCCACGGAAGACAACAGTGGTGGATGATCGCCGCATACTTCCTTTGGTGAAGAAGAACCCGTTCACAACATCAACTGAGGTCCAGAACACTCTCAGAGAAGTAGGTGTGTCTGTCTCTAAGTCAACAGTAAAGAGAAGACTCCATGAAAGCAAATACAAAGGGTTCACCTGTAGATGCAAACCATTCATCAATTCCAAAAGTAGACAGGCCAGAGTTAAATTTGCCCAAAAACACCTCAAGAAGCCAGCCCAGTTCTGGAAAAGTATTCTATGGACAGATGAGACAAAGATCAACCTGTACCAGAATGATGGGAAGAAAAAAGTTTGGAGAAGAAAGGGAACGGCACATGATCCAAGGCACACCACATCCTCTGTAAAACATGGTGGAGGCAACGTGATGGCATGGGCATGCATGGCTTTCAATGGCACTGGGTCACTTGTGTTTATTGATGACATAACAGCAGACAAGAGTAGCCGGATGAATTCTGAAGTGTACCGGGATATACTGTCAGCCCAGATTCAGCCAAATGCTGCAAAGTTGATCGGACGGCGCTTCACAGTACAGATGGATAGTGACCCCAAGCATACAGCCAAAGCTACCCAGGAGTTCACGAGAGCAAAAAGGTGGAATATTCTGCAATGGCCAAGTCAATCACCAGATCTTAACCCAATTGAGCATGCATTTCACTTGCTCAAATCCAGACTTCAGACGGAAAGACCCACTAACAAGCAAGACCTGAAGGCTGCGGCTGTAAAGGCCTGGCAAAGCATTAAGAAGGAGGAAACCCAGCGTTTGGTGATGTCCATGGGTTCCAGACTTAAGGCAGTGATTGCCTCCAAAGGATTCGCAACAAAATATTGAGAAAAAACTTTTTTGTTTGGGTTATGTTTATATGTCCAATTACTTTTGAGCTCCTAAAATGTGGAGTGTTTGTAAACAAATGTGTACAATTCCTACATTTTCTATCACATATTTTTGTTCAACCCTTTAAATTAAACGTTACAATCTGCACTTGAATTCTGTTGTAGAGGTTTCATTTCAAATCCAATGCGGTGGCATGCAGAGCCCAACTCACAAATATTGTGTTACTGTCCAAATATTTCTGGCCCTAACTGTATTTTCAAGTGTTAATCAAGCATTTTAAGATAGCACTAGGTGAAAGTGTAGGAAGAACACTCAACAATTAGAAAGGTACAACACAATTGTATTTTCAGAATTATTATACATCGTTTTTTTATACAGCACAAAACACAGCTGAGTTGGACATTGAAATAAAAAAACAACTACAAAAAGGTTACAGTTTCATTTTCCATCTAATTCTTTACAACATAAAACATGTCAGTATAGTTGCTCAACTTAGAGAACTGTAACAATATAAATATTTTCTACTGCAGACTTTAAACACTCATTTTCCATATGAAACTTTACTCAACTGAGCGGCGAGTTTCATATTGAGAACGTGTGCTTTCTTTGATAAGTTCTTTCCATCCAATTTCATTATTATTTTCTGTATTACTTCAAAGGTATGCTTGAGTTACTGAGCAAGTTGAGTGCTGAACGCACTAAACTTGAGGGTAGCTCAAGTTTAGTGCGTAGATTAGTCCCAGCAGCATCACTTTTGCAGAAGATACACTGCCCAAGCTGTTCATAACTTCCACCTCCTCCAGGACAATCCCAACATCCAGATGAGGATCGGCAGCCTCTGCACCCTCTGCTCAAATGACAACGATTCCGAGGACAGTCTCGGCTTTGGCCATTTCTGCACATTCATCAACGTCCTAAGGGAGTTAGGGAAGGGTATTGGGGGGGGAGACAATTCACATGTAATTAAATAAATAAATTAGACTGACATTGATTGAGTCACTCATGGACCTTAGTTGGTGAAAGTATTTTAACAACTCTTAGGAGTTCTATTGTAAACACAAAGAGAATTTAACATACCATGTACTCCCTCACCAGCTTCTCTGGATCTTCATTTAGGTACACACACAGACCTTTGAGGATGCACTCTCGTCTGACCTCAGCTGTGTCTTCCTAAATATGCAGATCAAAAACAATGAGAACAATCTCAAAACTCCAGCAGTATAGGTTCACACACTTGAAAACATAGCTACATTCAAAGGAAGTCACAACAAAAGTGATCAGTGGCTTGCAGTCTATTTGAAAGATATTTAAAATTGTTAGTATCCCTTCATTATGCCATGACTAAAATGGAGTTTAACATCGTATTTAAACATCTAAATGAAGCCGTTAGAGGTTTAAATAAAGACATGAATATATCACCAAAGAAATATGTGAAAAGTACAGAATGGTCAACACAGTCTATATCCTTCTACTTTAATGAATATGCAAAGCATTCCATGTCTTACAAGTACATGGACAGTCTATGTGTGGGCATGGATAACGTCGCATATGCCGGTGTTTAAGTGTAAAATGTTTTAACAGGTCATATCTACGAGACAGAGAGAGACTACACTTCTTACATTTCCACATCCCCACGCAAATAAAGACAAATAAAACAGACTGGCCAAATAAATGTTTAGCTGAACTCTAGCTTTATAAGCTCTCTAACACTACATTCAGTCACTTTAGATCTGGCAAAACTTACTATTAGCCACTGAAATCTATAACTTGATAGCCAATGATCCCCTTGACCAGAACTTAAGCAGGTGGATTCCAGACAGGTGATCAGGTGATGTTCTGAAAGAGATCAGATATATTTTCAGCCATTAAAATATGCAATTCATACTGAACTGAGTTGTATCTTTTAGTACAAGTCCCTTGAATGCCTCATGAATATAATCACTGGACACATGCAAACACATATGTACAGAATAGTTGTGAATTGAACATGGTAGAAAGCAATAGTAACATAGGTCAAAATGAGCACAAACAATCAACACAAAAAACATCAACATTTCAAAATTCAACCAATGAACTTCAATATTGTTTCTGAGCTACAATTATTTGGGGACAACAAAGAAGAGTCCAAAAAAAAAACAACATTTACAGCAGAGGAATATGTATTTTAAAGAAAAAAAATAGAAAGCTCAAGTCTGTAATAATGGATAATCCATTGAGAGTTTTAGCCTGACAAAATATACTAGAAATCCATAACTAACAGGTATTTTAGGAACATTTAACAAAGCTCAGAAAGCAATGCTTTCTGCAGGTTCACCGACTGAAATGTAGGACTTTTTATTACCATAATTAATTAAGAATCTCGATGATGATAGAAAGGTACCAAAGTGTGTATCTACATTTACCTCCATAGTAACATACTGAAATAGAATTAAAATAGTTAGAAATAGACTGAGTTAGATCCGTGTGTTAAAAATCCTCTAAACCTCCAGGGAGCTCAGGAGGAACAAAACTGTGACATTTCTGGGGTCCATTTGTGTCACTGGCAGCAGCTTTGTACACTACATATGGCTCTGCAGACTTTTTTCGCACAAAATGTACCTAACATGGTGCGGCGATAAATGTAAACAAAAAGCTATCTGCCTTAACCTAACCGACTTAATCTACAGAACATGAAATAATGTGACACAAGTATGGAACAAGTAGAAAATGGTGCAAATGGTAGAGAAATTTTAAGTTACATATTTTTATATGGATTTAGATGAAAATAGATTGACTCTTACCTTCTTCAAATTAAGTAGATGCACGCCAGGAATCTCCCTCTGCCCTTGAAAAAACCCAACAAGGTGCAAGCCAGTTATCTCGCGTGATTTTCCGTAATCTCTTGATGTCGCTGGATCCTCTTCAGCGGGAGATGAGTCTGACACAATAGCGCTTTGGAACTGACGTCACTGTGTTTTTTTTTTATTAGATTAACTTTGACAAATATTGATATTGAATAAAATAAAATTATATATATATATATATATATATATATATATAATATAAATTATATATATATATATATATAATATATATATATAATATATATATATATATATATATATATATATATATATATATATATATATATATATATATATATATATATGTAACGGGTATTAAGATGAAATTCTTGCTAAAATATGTTTGTAATTACCATGTGATGAATGGTTTTTGGCGCCCCCTACTGGTTGCCTATAAATACAAAGCTAAACCGTAAATTCCACGCAGTCTGTTGAGCGCTCTACTGTGGTAAGTCACCAAATCCAGTTCTTTTCTGAATAGTCATAGTAGGTGTGCTCAAAGACTGACGTGGAGTTTTATTGGAGTATGCGGAGAGCTGATGGACCAGTAGTGGAGCTCACTGTACTAATTTGTGTTGACCATTTATTACAGGTAATTATATTATATTATTTATTAGTAAATTATTTTGTCAGTTATGTTTGTCAGTTTTTCTTCAGTTGAGTTGTCGGTTTGTCTGTTGTATTGTCGGTTTGCTGTATTTACCAGCTTGTCAGTTTGTTTTGTTCCCTGTTTCAGTTAGAAGTTACTGTTAATTAGTTTATTAGTTAAATTTGATTGTTGTCTGTCTATTTTTTTTTTTATTTATAGGAAATAGACCAGATTGTGTTAAATTAATTTTAAAGAAGTATTAATAATCAAATATCACTATACGATCATTTGTTAGAAAAATAGTTGTGAAGCCAGATTGTAATGATTGTTTGTGACGCAGTCTGTTGAGCGCTCTACTGTGTATGCGGAGAGCTGATGGACCAGTAGTGGAGCTCACTGTACTAATTTGTGTTGACCATTTATTACAGTTATTACAGAAAATTCAACCAACTGGCCTCCTCTGTGTGTATGACGCCACGGGCATAAAGGGGAAGCTGTTACATTGGTGCCGTGACCTTGGACTACAATCAAGCTCGTCGAACCTGTGACCGTCCTGTCTGCCACATCGGGTTTTGAATACATTTATTCACATTGTGTATAGTTTCATGTTCACAGTAACATTTCAGGACAGTGAAAAGACGTTGCTGTACACTTAAACCTTTATGGAGCATTAGTAATATACTATGCAAATTGTTCTGACTTATTTTGTTTATTATTTGTTTATTCCAAATTGATGATTTTATTTCCTATTGTGTTTTGGATTTTGAATATCTTTCCACTTGTTAAACTCCCTGAACAATGTCTAATCAAAGTAACCACTTTTGGTTCAGCACACCCATTAGTTTTGGAAGAGGAAGAGGTGTGCTTGCTCCCATTCCTTTTTCTGTTGATAGTCCTGCTCCTGGTGGTCTTATGCCCTCATTAGATGAAATTCCTAGTGCTAGAGTCCATAATCCTACTAGTGACAGTTCTGAATGTGGAACTGCACAGATGAAATCTGTTTTACAAGAGATGGGACATCAGCTGGCTGACAGCATCATTTCACGCATACAGCCACATATCACAGTTTCTCCCAGTTCTACAGCCACACACACTGCAGGGAGTACTGTGGGTCAGTCTGGTTGTGTATCTGATGTATCCCAGGTTCAGGTTGTCATGCAGAGAAAGGTCAAAGAACCTCCATGTTTTGCAGGTAATGGCTCAGACTCCATTACAGTGCATGATTGGGAAGATCAGATGAGAACATTCATTAGGAAAACTGATGTTAAGATTGAAGAGCAGGCTGAGGAAATCCTTATGCATCTAAGGGGAAAGGCTAAGGATGTAGTTAAGTTTGGGATTAGAAATAGTAACATTAACATCACTGCTCATCCTGACATGATTTATAGTCTCCTCAGAAAACACTTCAGCTCTTCTAAATACTCTGCTGTCCCCTTAGCTGACTTTTACTCGACCTTGCCCAAAGACCACGAAGACCCATATGACTACTGGCTGAGACTAAACAGAGCAGCTGACCTTGCTTCTGACTGCCTGAGAGAGCAGGGCAAATCATTTGAAAATCCTGAGATGGAGGTGACACGTATGTTTATTAGGAATTGTCCCTGTAAAGACCTGGCTCTCACTTTCAGATCCAAAACTATTGACAGGTGGTCAGCATGTGAAGTCCTGGAGATGCTGAATCAGTACCATGCTGAGATGAGCTGTAAAGAAACTTTCCCAGTGCGCCACGAGAAGACAGTAGACATTAAAGTGCACAAAGCAGAAGTGGGCCATGGCTTGATCCCTACACATAACAGTCAGGAGTACCCCCAGACACACAGCGCTCAGTATGTCTCCCTGACAGATGTAATGTCGATGTTAGAGAAGGTTCTGCTACATGGAGCCTCTAATCAGCCACATGAAAGAAGGCGAATTCCACCCAGGCGACCTGTAGACAATGCAGACATAATAAATGGTTCACTATTAAACCATGCATTATTTGCAAAGCTGACGACCACAGTGCCTTGTCACATTGCAGAGAAAATAGGCTTGTTTCAAGTGTTATGCTCCAGGTCATTCACGCCACAACTGCCCAACTAAAAGAGCTGCCCCAGAGCATCAGGAAAACTGACTGGTCTGCACACAAGGGAGGACAGTGCAGATGAACCTAATAAGCCTCCCACTAAAAATGAGTCCCAGAAATCCAAGATAATGCATCCCTCTTTGAGTTATACAGTAGTACATTGACCTCATCCAAGAAAATATTCCAGGGATCCCAAAGAATAGCAGAAACTAACAACCTGTTCTACACACCTGTGTCTGTACAGAATGGCCCCACCCTCAAAGCACTATTAGACAGTGGTTCAATGGCTTGTACAATAAGTGAGTCCTCTGTTCAATCCCTTTTACAGCAGTGTCCTGATATAACGAAAGGCACAGCTGAAGACTATGTGATTATAGGCTGTGGTGGACAGCAGATTTCCCCCAAAGACATGTATGACCTTGATGTCATGGTTTATGGATGCAGGATGATAATTCCAACAATGGTTGTTCCAGGACAGACAGAACAGATGATTCTTGGCAGCAATGCAATCAAACACATTCTAACCCAACTAAAGAGCACTGACAGTTACTGGAGACTAGTTTCTTCACCCAACAATGGCCAAACACCTGACCACTGCCAATTTCTGTCACTGTTATCCAACACAGAACGTTGGAGGGGTGATTGCATTCCAGATAAAGTAGGGACAGTGAAAGTAAAAAGTTGTGTGACCCTGAAACCACAGAGTGAGCACCTTGTCTGGAGCAAGTTACCTGAGTCGGCGGTGATGTCAGCAGGCAGTACAGTGATTGTTGAGCCAACACGATCTAAAGCTGGACCAAAACACATCCTTGTTGGCAGAGTTGTCACTCCTCTTTGGGGAGATCGATGGGTACCTGTTAGGGTCATCAATCCTACAGACAGGGTTATAGTACTGAAGAGAAATGCCAAATTAGCAGATGTGTCTCCATGTATTGCAGTTGAAGACCTGCCAAAAGCTGACAAAATTGAGTGTAATGTGCAATGTATACAGAGTACAGTTGTGCAACCAAGGTCAGAGGGACATGATGAATACGCTGAAAGTTCTGGGTCTGCAAGACATTGACCTGAAATCATGTGAAGTGCCACTGCAGTGGAAAGACAAGCTCCTTGACCTCATTGTGCAGCATGAGTCAATCTTCTCCCGTCACAAGATGGATTGTGGAGAAGCTAAGGGGTTCGTTCACCGCATCCATCTTGTTGATGACAAGCCATTCGTTTACCCTACAGGCGCATACCACCAAGCCAATATGAGAAAACTGAGAATGACTCTGAATGAGATGGAAGAGAGAGGCATTATCCAGAAGTCAAACAGCGAATATGCATCTGCACTTGTTCTGGTATGGAAACCAAATGGTGACCTCAGAGTCTGCACTGACTTCAGATGGCTCAATGCGAGAACTGTGAAAGATGCTTACCCACTACCGCATCAAGCTGATGCTTTGGCTGCCCTTGGTGGTAATGCATTCTTCTCAACAATGGACCTGACATCAGGCTTTTATAATGTCCCTCTGCACCCTGATGACAAAAAATATACAGCATTCTCGTCCTTTTGGATTACATGAATACAACCGCCTCCCTCAAGGCCTGTGCAATAGTCCGGCTACATTCATGAGGATGATGATGTCGATATTCGGGGATGAGAACTTCACAAGCCTATTGTGCTACCTTGATGATCTGATGGTATTTGCACCTACAGAGGAAACCGCACTCCATCGCCTACAAATGGTTTTCTCCCGTCTCAAAGAACACAATCTTAAACTCGCACCCAAGAAGTGCTTCTTCCTAAGGCGGACTGTGAAGTTTCTTGGACATGTCATCAATGACCATGGTGTCCGAACAGATCCTGAGAAAGTGAAGGCCATAAATGAAGTCCAAGTCACTGACCTAATGGAGTCTGATGGAAAACACCTTGCCCTAGCAAATCAGGACTTATCTAGGCATAGTGATGTACTATCAAAGCTTCATTGAGGCATGTTCTGCAAAGGCAAAACCACTATTTAAGCTCACAGCTGGACTGGACGCTCAAAACAAGCACAAACAAGGTCGCAAACTTGTCAAAAAGAGAGGTCATGTGAAACTGACACCTGCTGATTGGACAGATGCATGCCAGATTGCTTTTGAGACACTGAAACATGACCTCATGACAAGTGTTACTCTAGCCCATCCAGATTTCAAGGCACCATTTATTCTAGCTGTCGACGCATCCTTTGATGGGATTGGCGCTGTCCTGTCACAACTGCCACCTGGTGGAAAAGTGGCCAGACCAGTCGCCTTTGCAAGTAGAACTCTTTCACGTTCCCAACTGAACTACCCTGCACACCGGCTTGAATTTCTTGCCTTGAAATGGGCAGTATGTGACAAATTCAGCCATTGGTTGAAGGGCAGACACTTCACCATATGGACTGACAGTAATCCATTGACCTATATCCTGACCAAACCCAGAC